AAATTGGGTTTATTTCTTTTGTACGTTTATGTTCTTCGGTGTATCTCGGTGTAGAGAGAGAAGGAGAGAGAGCAAGGAACCTTTTGTAAATCAAGACGATCGACTGGTGTAAATTTCTCAAGTAGTAAAATCCTCTGCAACACCGTGGACGGCAATTTGTCGAACCACGAACCACGTAAATCTGTGACTTCCGCTCTATACTGTTTTCTAATGTGAATTTTCTCATTCAAAATTTTCACTTTCTTTGCCTATCGTTATTCTATTTTTTCTATATACCACAACATTCACTACAGCTCTTGTGATTCAATTGTTCTGTACTTTTGATTGCATAAGAGTGGTGCAAGTTCGAATCTAACACCCTTCATATGAATGATTCATATGAGATGATGCCTCGATGGTTGGACATTTAATCCCGTAGCGAGTCCAATACTCGAAGCTCACCAACCCGAAAATAAAAAAAAACTAAAAGATAAAAAAAACTTAAATAACTCAATTTTTTACTGAACATGAATAAGAATATGTAAATTGAGTCGAACACGAATACACTATTTACAAGTAATTTAGAACACAAGCAAATCTCAAACAAAATTAATTTTAAAAAAAAACATAACATATTAAAATGAAAATCTTTTCATACATATCACATAATAATTATATATTTATACATCTCACCTCTAAAATTTAATATTTATGCTTAAATGATATTACTAAAAGTATATTTTATTTTTCAAAATTAAAAATTAATAATTAATATTCTTATGGTGATATTAAAAATTAAATTTTATTTATGTAAATATGAAAATGCAGATGTTTTATATATTAAAATTTACATGATGGGATTCTGTGAAATTCTTTGGGCGTAATCTTTCTTTTTCTATTTACTTTCTATCTGAAGGAATCTCTCAACGTCAAATTAGCTCAAAAAGTCAATTTTGGTTTTGAGTGCTGACTGCACGAGTCAACGAGCGCAGTGGTGTGAACTTGCACGCGCAGCCAGATGGGAGAATATATGTGCTGATGGACACGTAATCAGCTGAGAATTTCTTTTAAGAAAATTAAATTTTTTAATATTTATTTTACAGATTCTATCAATTTAATAAGGAAGATTTGCATGCATACCCTTTCATATCTTACTAAACATTTAAGTTTTACATATATGTCTACATAAAATAGTTTATTTCAGATTTTAAAAGTAATATATA